TGTTCAGTCCAACTGTTAGGCTGTGGAAGATGAAGAAATTGAAAGGTTGAATCAGAAAGCCAGATATTAAAGTCTCTTTGCTATACTATCAAATGTGTACTATTGACCACCTCTACATAAGGACCACCTGGCCATTGATATACAGTCAAACCTTTACTAGTGACCACTTCTGCATAAGGACTACCTGGCCACTGTGGCTACTTTTTGACGGCCACTTCTTTAAGTTACTTTCACATTGATGGATTGATGGAAGAATCTTGTCTATAGTAGCCACCTGTATGCTGTGAACATTATCTTTAAGTCCTTTTAGACAGGTTGAATTTGTCTTGTGTGAAGAGAGATAGCAAAGTGTCATATCTTAAGAAAATTTTGAGACATTGCGTGCCAGTATCCCATTTTCAATAGTCCCTATGTGGGGATGTGTGGACTAGGCCTGATAGCAGCCTGTGTAGGTGGTGAGTTATGTACAGCATCATATCTTCTGTAGATAGCAGGGCGATGATCACACACTGATTCACGTGTAAGGCACGCGAGCAATGGCACAGAAGTGTGTCTACAGGTGATAAGAAATATGGAAATGTAAGCTTATTTCAGAAATAGAGTAAAGAGACTCTTTTAAAATTACACAACCAAGTCTTTTATTCAGCCGACATTTCGGTGACCGTCTGTCACCTTCCTCAGGGCAATTCTGACTGGTTCACATTGCACTGCAGCGCAAGTGTCTTTGCTATACCGGGGTAGATGCATTCCCAAGCGCATGATATTTCTCAGAATTCCAAAGCACAAATATGGCAAGGGATCGAACAGAAAGCTTGAAGAAAAACTGGATCCTGAAAATAAACAGATATAAGTTGGAAACTTGCAACTAACTGACTATTCACTCTCTGAAACTGTGAACCAAGAACACAATAGCACAGAAGTAGACATACAGCAGTTTAGTAGACTCCAACCTTGGCAAAGGTTTGTGCTCCAGAAGTGATTTGTAGTTGTCTGGCACACTAGATGTAACAAATGGAGATACTTCCCGGGTCGCTGCACTCTTGCCCTGTATTTGTTTGCAGTTCAGAACTTGGCCCAAGCTTCTATCCACATTTCTTAGTGGAGCTTCCTACACGAACCTGCACTGCTGCATTGTAGTACATGTACACACTGTGTGTGATTTACAACTGAAGGGAGAGTCTGGGATTTCTCTTGCTAGTGGTAGGGAACTTTTAATGGCAGGAAGTCATCAGGGCCATTTTAAAATCTTGGAGGGGGGGGGGATTGTCAAGCCCTCTTCGCTCTTACATCTACATGTAATATATTGATTATCGATCATCAATAATTGATATATTTATTATTGTTTAAGGCAAAAAAAAGACATGTCTACCCCTCTCAGAACTTTTATTAGTATTGATTATTGACAAATCACCAATTACAACTATTGGAGATTCAGGTTAGTATTGCTTTGGCTCCTTTGCAAAGTCAGAAAAAAGATATATTGTCTGCCCCTGTGTGAGTTTGAGTGCCCCTCCTACTCTGGCAAAATGGACCAGTCATCAGTAGCTATCTTGGCTGTGCAGTAGTGAGACATGAGAATGTGGTTTGCCTTTGATGTTCCCAGTTGCTGCCAGGCACCAGATTTATGGCAGAAGGGAGGCCTGATGAAGCTCCACAGCAGGAGACATAGCTCTAAACCAACACTACACATCAACCATATCCCCTCTCACTCCCCTGGCCTGCCTCTCTCACTGTATCACTATCAGATGGAATATTATATAGCCTCTACCAGGCTTCCGAAGCTGGCAGAATGGAAATGTAGATTTATGGCAGAAGGGAGGTCTGACCAAGCTCCACAGCAGGAGACATAGCTCTAAACCAACACTACAGATCAACCATATCCCCTCTCACTCCCAGTGTCTCTCAGGCTGTAAATGATACACATTCAACAAATGGCCCCCTTTTCCATTGCACTGAAAGAGAGTCCTAACCTTTTTCTGTATTGAAGGCCATGCCAATTCATTTCCTTGGTTTGTAGACACATTT